AATAAATAATAACATTCAAAATACTTTTTCCGATTCGAAAAATGGTTTTAGTCTAATTGAAACAGCATTCAAGCCATAAAAACCTAACCAACTTCGATTTAATTTTATTTATGTTTTATTTTTGCCAGACATTTATTGTGGCGCCTCTTTGCATAGGAATTGTAGCTCCAATCATCCGATTTGCCCGCATTCGTTATTCATTTATTCAGACCAGTTGTAGTGAGTCCTATCGCTGCGTCCCCCTCCCAGTTCCAGCAGACTCAACTGGTTCTCGTGTGCTTTTGTCTGCGCGAGTATTTTGTGTACTTTATAATTATTTTTTATGGTTAGCCAATTATTTAAATAAATAATGGCCGACTGGTTCAATATGTGCGCCTGCTTGGGGTCGGAGCTGAGAGAGGCTGCGCCTCTAAAAACCAAATTGAAAATTGCCAAATGCCAATTGTGGCGGACGAGCACGATGTTTGTTTTGTGCGCCGCTGCATGAAATATGCAATTATTTTTGCAGTTGCCCGTATAAGTATTATGTAAATGCACACACACACACACCTACACACCCACTTCTCTTACCCGTATGTACCTTTCTATATAAATTTTCTCTTTTTATATATATATATCTGTTTGCATTCCATATACATTTGCATTTTGCGCCGCCACAAAAGTTGCATTTCCGTTCAGTTTGCACCGAAAACCACTAAAAACTACCCCAACCACTCGGAGCCACCCAAATACAGCAAACACTACAAATAATATGACATAAACAGCGCCAAATGTCAACAATTTCTGTCAGCGACACGGACTTGTTATAATTTAGGTAGCGGGCGCGCCTATTTCGAGTGTGTTCCCATAAACTAAATCGCTTGCAAATCAACATTTGTGTTTCATTGAAAGTTAAATACACAAAAATAATAGGAAGCGAAATATTTGGAAACCATGAATAAATGTCATTGGGGAATAATAATATTTATAAATAAATTATATTAAAAATCTATAAAAAATTCAGTAAATTATTATAACAAATAATTGTGTATGAAATTTAATTCTAAAAAAATAATACTATAAAATAAATTTTAAATTAATTTATTGCTTTTAGTTTATTTATAAAATAATAAAATTTAAAACTTAAAAAAAAATCTATAAATTATTATAACAAATTATTATTATTATGCATGCATATAAAAAATAAAAATAATTTATAGTTAATTTATAACTTTTATTTTATTTAGGTATAAAATTGTTTGTTAATCTAATTTTTGTTTTTAATATTGCATTATTTATATAAATATTTTATGCTCAGCTAAATCAATAAAAAATTAATACAAAATAAATAAATAAAAACTTATTGCAATAATTGGAAACAAAGATATATAAAATATATAATTTTCCATTTAATAATAAAATAAAAACTTTTAATATTAATAATACTTTATAATAATCAAAGTATTTGTTATCTTCACTGATTAGTAACTCAATATCAAAATATTATTATATTATGATATTAAATTTATTTATTATTTTTATTATATATGAAATTAAATATTTATTGAATGTTTGCTGAAAAAGAATATAAGGCTTTGGTTTTCTGTATTTCCATCTAAAATCGAAAATATTGAAATCTTAGCGAAATATCGTTGCTATAAATTGAGGGAGCTTCATTTATTTTGCTGTGGTTGCGCGGCTCACGCTGCTCCTATTGTGGCCTGCTGCCTATAAGCTCTAATCAATATTTCGGTTATTGGCCAATGCAATAACGAGCAGCCGAAAGGAGCGACATGTTGCACGAGGCGCTGCATAAATATGGGCTCCACTTGGAGCGGAGTGGTGCTGGGTCGTCGCCCGGTGCGGTGGTGGGGCTTCGGTTGGTCTGACTGCGGTTTGCAACAGTCGCGCGTATTTCTTCATCAGGCGCTGAACGGACGCGCCCGCCAAACATTGTCGTGCTCATTGTTGGCAACCGCCACACCCACTCACCCAGTCGCCCACGCGCACACATTCCGACTGTACATACATACGTATGCATGCATGCAGTGGCCCTCTGGTTAGAGCGAAACTCTAGGCCCGGTCATATTTTTGACTCTGCTGGAACGTTGGCCCGTTATTTACAGGCTGTCGGCCGACGTCCCACTGCCCACGCCCTGCTTTTTAGCCCCGCCTATATTGTCGTTGGCTCGCTGGTTTTACGTTAATTTGCACAATTTTTGAGTTATGTCAATCGATTTCTAATGGCCGCCGCGTAGCTCAGCTCCAACACGACTCCACTCGACTCGACTCGAACCTTTCCCTTCGCTGTGATTTCGACTGGGTGTTCGGTGCTCCGGGCTGGATGCTGTTGGCGCAGTCTCGAATATCGCACAATTTGTAGTTTTATAATTGAAACAAGTGGTCCCTTTGAGCTGGCTGCTCCTTTTGCCAGCATTTCAACACACACACACACACATAGTCATCGACACACGGCATGGGTAAACGGTAAAACGGTTTCAGGGGGTTTGAGCTGTTGCGATTCCCTATTGACTCCGCTGATGTTGCCCCCATCCATCTATCTTGTCAATCAAATCAACGTGTTCTTTGCCTAGCCATAGATCATATTTACGCTTCCAATTAGTACTAATATCATTATTAGTAGGTACTATAGTGGTATAGGTATTATAATGGTAAAGATACTTATGTGGTATAGGTACTCTAATGGGTAATATTCTATAATATATAGTGTTTAATAATATTGCATATTATTTATACTTCATTATTAAAATAATTATATATATTCCAAAGGGTTGTAAAGAGATTTAAATAATTTTTAACTATTTTCATTGAGTCCTTTAAATGTAAATAGATTGTATACTTAATATACAACTACCACTAACCATTCTCTAGTATATGACATGAAAAAACTGTATATAAAAAGTAATTCAATATTCATTAAAAAGAGGTCCTAAAAAATAGAATTGGATTCTGAATTCGCTGCTCCCATTGGCTAATAGGAGTCGTGAAAATAAACAGCCGATGTAGCTCTATATATAAAAATGTATATATAATACAGATATACCAAATATATTTATGTACAATATGTACATAAATGTATATAAAAGGTAAATTTAAGCGCCTATAAATATGCAATGCATTGCATTTTGCGCAATTATCGCAGACATGCATGCATTTATTTATGTTGTTAATGCCAAAGAGCAGCCCAAAAATGCAAATAAAAAATTCAGCAAAATTTCGCGCGATGATAATTGCAAACGAGACCGCAGCACAGACAGCCAGAGAGAGAGAGAGAGAGAGAGAGAGAGAGAGAGAGAGAGGGGGTAAAGAGGAAGAGCCATGATGATTGCAAACATACTCATTAAAATTAGCTGAATGACAGCGTGCGCATGGGAGAGTGGGAGTGGGTGTCAGCCATGCAATTTCGACAATTTTCATAACCTGCGCGATACGAATTGTAATTCATATTTTATTTCGTGATTAATCCCATAATAGCAGCGAGACAGAGACGGCACGAGAGTCGAGCGAAATTACGAAAATTGCGCTGCAATTGAATTGAAGTCGCTGCGCTGCTCACTTACGGGCGTCGCGCAGTCAGCATGGCCAAATAACTGTTAATGCAAATGCAGCAGCAGCAGCAACAAAAGAAATAACAACAAACGCAGCAGCAGCAATAACAACAACAGCAACAACAACAGTATTTTTAGCTTGGTTGTCATTTCCGTTAATTCAACGCTGTTGTTGCTGGCGTCGCAGCGTGAATTTTAAATCATTTGGCCGTTAGATGGCGCTGCATGCCCGGCGTGTGTGTGGGTGTGTGAGGGCGTTCGTCTGTGTATTAGTTTGCCATTTTGTTGTAAATTGCCTTGGGCACTGCTATATACTACAGTTGTTATTGCTTTAGTTGTTGCTGTTGTTGTTGTTGAGCTTAGAATCGGCCCTCGTTATACGCATGCAGCCGGCTTTTGCGGTTTGTGTTTGGGGCAGTTTTTGCTGTAAAATGCATTTGCCATCATTTGTTGTATTCGCCCCATTGCTGTTGTTATTGTTGTTGCCTATGCCTATGCTGTTGCCAGGCTGTTAAAGTTATTGCATTGGCTCTCGCCTAAAATATGCGCGCATTTTATTTAACGCCTTTTTTGGTGAGCAGCCCTATCCCCTATTATGTCTGCATGGAATTAGGGGGAGATAAACAGAAAGAGAGAGAGAGAGAGAGAAAGGGACGGGGCGACAGACAATGCTCGACTGGCCAAGTCCGTGCCAGCGGCTTAATTGCAAACTCATATTGGCCAGCTTTACAACGTGTCAATAACACTTTGATACCAAAAATGTATTTGCCTTTTGACATCTGCATAAATTAACAATATAGTAGTAGGATTAGCAATAGGGAAATAGTAAATATCGCCTATAAGTAATGTAGATAATCTTAATAATATTTTAAAAGGATATGAAATATTAAAATTTTTTTTTTTGGTATTTTGTTCTTTGTATTAAGCAATAATACTTGAACTTTATCGCTTTAAAGATGCTAAAGTGTTTTTTCTTCTATTTCTATATATATGTATCTCAATAAATTTCTTACAAATTATAATTTTTTTTATTTTTTAACAATAAATAATAAATATCTTTACTATATCCTACCTTTTTTCCCTCATTCTATTATATATTTTTCTATGACTAAATTATTCTTGAGCTAACGCAAGACAAAGAAATCAAAAGCTGCAGATCAATTATATATGCTTGGCGTGGGTTTATATATTACGACAGAGTAGTCCACACAGGAAATATCAAGAAATAATATATTCTAATAATATTTATTAAACTTTAAGTCAAATTTTAATAAAGTAGAAAAATATATGTAGAATATGTGAATTATTAGAAATAGTATATCCTAATATTATCAAACTTTATGTCAAATGTTAATAGATATTTAACAAAATTTATTAGCCTAATCGAGTACAAAAATATTTGTAGATCAAAAGATGGAAAAAAGAAGGAAAAAGATGGACTAACTAGATATATATATATATATATATTATGTATGGTATATCATATACGTAAATATCATATCATATGTAAACATGTCAAATAGTTTCCACTTGGGTCCTAAATTTTAATTAGGGAATTGATTGCTTTTTCATTTATACGTACTTAATCAGCCGAATTATGTAAAAAGTTTCGACAATTTTGTAGCACGGAAATGTCATCCGGTTTAATTAGATCTCATTTCCCGTCCGCCATTTGGGCAGCCGCAATTTGTTATGCAGAATGTCTGTCCGCAAATCCAATTAAATTAATTTGCCAATAATAATATGCAAATATGCCAAAAATGCGTAAAACCAAACAAAGCACTCAAAATGAAAATGAGAAGAAGGAGAAAAAATAAATAGAATAAAACAACATTATAATAATAAATTTGTTATCAAAATAATTATTTGGTAAATTGCTTTTGTAAAGTGCAAAATGTTGCAAAAACCACAAATAGCCAGCGAAAAAAGAAGAAGAATAAAAGCCCAAATGAATGGTTGAAAAAATATATATGTCTACATATATATATATACTTATGTATTTATTTTCGAGCCAGGACAGTTGACTGTTACGCCCAGTGCCGCGGCCCCCTCTGCATGCAGTGCTTTATTAATATTAATTGAAAATAAATGCAGCATAAGCTGCGCCGGCCAAACTTCTGCCCAAAGGGAGGCCTCCCTCTGTGGGCGTGGCCGTTTGGCGGCCCTGCAAATTCAGTAAAATGCAAATAATTAAATGGCAACCAATAAAATATGCAAATGAGTTTCGCGGTGTCGCGCACACAACACACAGAGAGGACAACAACAGCAGCAGCAGGGGCAGCAGCAGGGGCAGCAGCGAGGGGCAGGAGCTGGGGCAGGATATGCACATAGAAATGCAGCCGTGGTAGGGCCAGGAAGCGGAGACTCCTCCTCCATGCCCACATCATGGCATTTTATATGCTAAACAAATTATTCGTGTATTTGCGTAGCAGATTTAATTTCCTGCATGCACCGAAAATATATTTTTTTTTTTTCTGTAAAATATGGCCAATATAATGACAGGCCAATGAGTGCGAGTGCGAGCGAGATAGTTGCGCGGCGCGTTCATGCTAGCGATTGGCTAACGGATTTTATTTTGCTTGCGAGCCTAATTAGTTGATTTTATGCATCACATAGAGATATACATATACATGTACACACATATGTGCATATGCATATGACAAGTGCGGTTGTTTCATACATAAATACATATATAATCAATATACAATATGTGCGTGTGTGTGTATTTATTTGTTTATTTATTTATGTATATAGCCGAAGTGAGAAAGTTTAGCTGTAAATTAGTATTTTGTGCTAGACGAAAATATCAATTTGTTGTTTATCCATATGTTAAGTAAGCATTCAGCTGTTCTCTATAATGGAGCTGGTAAGCCAATGGAGTATTTAATATTAAAAGAATTAAAGATTGATCGCAGCTGGCTCATAAAGTTGAAGCCAAGTTTCATATGTTGGTTTAAACAGAACTAAAGAAATAGGCCAAAAACGTAGGATATTCTAATATTATATTATATTGTAAAGTTCAGCAAGAATTATCATCTTATCCTAATCCTAATTAGACTAAATGTAATCTGATATGATATAATATAAAAAAATTCGCGGCTAATTTGTTTTCAGTATGGAGAAAAAGAGTCGGAGATCAAACAACCTTTATCAACACAGATCTTGAAGTATAGTCCCAAGCTAGTGCAGTTCTTGGATGGTTTTCTTGGAACTTTTAACTAATTTATATACAAGAAAAAACGTCTAGCACTTAAACGACATTTCGAAGAGGCATTAGCCTACAATTAATATCTTCCAATTCTCAACTATTTCAATAATGCAAATTTTCTACTCGCCCTTGGTTCGCTCAGGCACTGGATTACGATTGCGAGATGCAGGGCCAGCAGGACATACCGCAGGCCATACAGCTGCTGGGCGAGATGAACAGCAATGTGAAGCAGGTGACGGATCTGGTCGAGGGCATGCTGCAGCGCGTCAAGCGGGGTGAGCTGAGCACAGAGTATGGCCTGAGCTTTCTGGAGGTCAAATATCACATGCTGCTCGACTATTTGATCAACCTGACGTATGTGGTGCTGCGCAAGTGCTCCGGCGAGACCATTGAGGGCGATCCCTCCATTGAGCGCCTGATTGAGATACGCACGGTGCTCGAGAAGATCCGGCCCATTGACTATAAGCTGCGCTATCAGATCGACAAGCTGGTGAAGACGGCGACCACGGGCGTTTCGAGCAGCACAGATCCCATACTCTACAAGCCGAATCCGGAGGACATGCTCAGTGCTGCAGGCGCTGATGGTGAGGCGCACGAGGGCGATGGGGCAGCCAGCGATAGTGACGAGGAGGAGGAGGAGGACGATGAGGAGGGAGCAGGCGCTGCGAAAAAGCCACGCAAAGCGGCCACAGCTGGCAAATCGGGCATCTATGTGCCGCCACGCATCAAGCCTGTCTACTACGATGGCGATGAGCGCGAGGCAGACAAGGAGAAGAAGGCCCTGGATCGTGCCAAGAAGCGGGCCATCACGTAAGAGACGCACCCTACTGCACACGCCTGCATGATAAACTCTCACTAATTGAATTCGTTTCCAGTTCATCGATGCTGCAGGACTTGAAGGAGGAGTATTTGGATGCGCCCACAGAGCTGTCGTCGGGCTCGCGCGCCCAGCAGCTGCTCTCGCAGGCGCAGAAGGAGAAGCAGGAGTACGAGGAGACCTACTTGATGCGTCTGCCAGTGACCAAAGCCGAGAAGCACCGTCAACGCAAGCTCACCACGTTGGGTAAGTGACAGCCATGGCTTATGCGTAAGTCAGCCATATATCTACAGTGATTATCTCGTTAAAGGCACTCTGGGTGATGAGATACTGGGCGAGATAAACCGCGAGTCGGCGCTGCGCGGCGACGGCTCAAGCAGAAAACGCAAGTTGGCCAAGACACGCGGCAAGGGCAAGAAACGTGGCGGCAAAAAGCGAAAGTTCCATTAATACAGCGACGCCCAAACGGACTAAAGAACTTTACACGATATATAACAGATATATAAATATTATATATCCTTAGTGACAGTTTTCCATTAACGATATTTTCTATGATTCATATAATTTGCTTTTCGTTTTCATTTAGCATAATTAAAGTACATACAGATTTTTGTTGATTTTCATATTGCTTTAAACAAACTCATATTATTATACATTTTTATTCAAGTTAAGTTTTTGTCTTGTATTAAATTTAAATTTATGAATTAACCAAAAGATCCATTAAAGTTTTATACAATTTAATATCTTTGTTTTTGTTTCATTTTTTTCCCTTATAAAAATAGATTGTTGAAAGCTTACAGCATGATTATTTTTAGATCTAAGTAAACAGGCAGCAACAACATGCCAAAAGGAAATAAAAATGCGTTGAAAAAAAAAGAAAAAAAACATAAAAAAATAAAATAAGTTTGCGCATTGTAAACTGCATTAAATTTAGGCAACAAAATTAAGCACTTAATATTTTCTTTTCGACTTACGATAAAAAGTATTTTAACCTAAATTAAGAAATTACAAAATTTGATGGCTAAAACAAAAGCAGACAAAGCAAATTTAATATATATGAAATCTGTAGAATATTGATAAACGAAATTTCAACTTAAAAGAAACAAAAATTAAAATTTAAGGCACAGCAAAATTTTTGCGTATGGCAAAAGCTAACAAAAAAGAAACGTTTCGTTGTTTTTAGGAGTCCAACTAAAATGAAAACACATTTTGGCAGCTTATGATATGCTTTAAGAATAACTAACTCTATTTATTCATTTCTTTCAAATAGCAAAACTTGAGCAACAAAATTCAAATTCAAAATGCAGTTTCACATGTAAAAAACAAAAGAAAACAAAAACAACAAAATTACAAATACAAATTACAAATTCTGTAACAAAAAAGCAGTTGCCTTAACAAAAAATACAAGAGACCGGTTATACTTACAGTAAGAAAAGCTAAAAAAAAAGTATTTAAAAAAATATATAAAAAAAAATCAGTTTGACAACAATTTTTTATGTTGAGCGATGAAGGAATCAAGAAAATATACCTATATAGCATATGATAAACGTAAGCCCCACCCAAAAAGTTATAAATACAAAAAAGAAGAAGAAAATCTAAACAAATTATCTAAAAGCCAAAACAAGATTCAGAATATTTGTGATTTCATTGCAATTGCGATCTGAGGCTCTGGAAAATGATTTAAGTTTCAGGTTTAAAAAGCAAAAATGAAAACTCCTAAAAACAACTAAATTTGGACACAAAATTTTATATATTTACTATACGTACGATACGAGTATATAATAATGAAAATTAACTTTAAGCGAAAAACAATTTTTGAATAACCCCAAAAAGAAGCAATTTCATGGAAATCGATATCGAAATGAAAATGGAAATCTAAATTGAAGCCAGCGAACGTCCACTTGAAAAGTTTTTAAATTTAGCAACCGAAAAAAAAAAAACAAAAACAAATGCGAAAGACTAAGCAGTTTATGAGACAGCGCAGCGCATCTAAAAGAATTAGAAGGAGACGATGATGGTAGATCGAGATGATATGAATGAAATATTTCCAGCATATATATATATATATATATATGAATATATATGTATGTATAATTATTACAATAAATATGTAAAAATTAAGAAAAGAAAAACCTAGCATTAAGTTAAGTACTTTTAATCAAGCAAGCAAAACTTTTGGCTTTTACAACCAACTTCGACTAAGGATAGAAATTTTTTCAAAATTTTCTCCAATTGCGAGATGTCGCAACTTTTTGGCTATAAACTTTAAAATGAGCGCAACGTAAGGCAGACAACGGAAATTACCACATAAATGCAATAGAACACGAAATTATTTACAGGCAGCAGCACTTGAAACATTTTGTAATGCAGTTAAATAAATTAATTTAATTAATTTATTTATGTTGAAAGCTGAAAGACTGAATATGTTAAATGAAAAACAAAAGATGAAAAAACAAAACGATACGAAATACGAAAACAAAAACGAAACGAAATGAAAATGAAACGAAACAATGTGTAAATCTTTTCTCAAGAAAAAAATGTGTATTTGGAGGTGATGTAAGAACATAAATAATTTAATAGCCGAATTTCTAGCACAAATTATAACGACTTAACGAAACGAAAGGTAATTAATATTCATAATTAATTTTTATAATTTATATGTTTTTTTTTATTATTATCAGAATTGTCAGAGTTTTTCTGTTCGATTTTTTCGGTTCTCTTTCCTTCGGTATTCAAATGCAAATTCGATGTTTTTTTTTATCAAAACGAGGAATGAGAAAATTAGGAAACAAAACAAAGACAACTGGACGATGGACAGCAGAAACAGAAACAGGAACAGAGACAGCAGAGAATAATGAAACTAATGTTGAAAATATATTGCAAAATGTAAAACACATGAAACGAAAATAAATGAAATACATATAAAACAAAGTGAAACAACCAAACAAAAGTCGCCTTAGCCTAGCACCACAAACAAAACGAAACTAAAACAAAAACTAACAAAAAATTGCAACGGTAAGAAAAAATTTGTAAACCAAACAAAAAACATACTCTAATGCAAAATACTTAAACTTAAATATTTCTTATTTGTTGTAATTTAAAAAAAAAAAAAATAAAAAGAAAAAGACACACACATTCACTCACTCACACACATGCAGAAAAAAATAGTGCAAAAAGTTCAAACAAAAAAATGTAACTTAATTTTTATAGCCAAAAAAAGAAATGACGCGAAAGCAGGAAACGGAATGGAGTAGAGATTTAATAATAGCTGGATCTTAGGATCGTTTAGTTTAAGCAACTCCAATAAATTTTACAAAAATCAATTGGTTAATTAGTGATAACAGAGACATGTTTTTAATAACGAAATTCGAGCTTAGATTTATTTCAAAAACTAAAAAGGAAGAAAGCAAAACAACAAATTGAATATAAAACAAATTTATTTAAAATTAGTTCTCTCTAAACTGGAATTGTTTAAACAAACAAACAAATGATGTTGTATAGCAGCGGCAGATGAGTCAAGTTTAAAAGTAATCTCTAATATATATATATATATATATATATATGTATGTATACGTATATATATTAGCACATAGCTACATATGTATGTGTGTAAAAGGTTGGCAGTCGAAAAACTATGTAAAATTCAAATAAAGTAATTCGAACTAATCTACCAATTAATTATAACAATACAAATTAAGCAACCAGTAAAAACTAACTAATAAACCAAAAACCAACAATGAATGATAAAAATAAAATTTAAATCTTACAAACCTAAACAGAGAGGTATTTTATTTTTACTGAAATTTTTTTTAAAACGGAAATTTTGGTAAAGTACCAGGCAAGCAGCAACGATCAGTAGGGAGACTAATATTAGTCACTCTCATTTCACAATGAGTTAACATAATCATGTTAATTAACAGTACACGCTCAGTGCTATGTTAATCTACTGTTATCAAACATTTTAAATCATACTTACTATTTCACTTGTGTGTGCCTGGTACTTCGTAAACATCAAGAGGAATTTCGGTAAACTAAAGAAAGGAAAAAGTTTTAGAATTACTCTGTTAAATAAATAGCTCTAGCGTAGTCCAATCCTTGACGATGCTCGCAGGACATGGACTACATTCTGAAAATCGAATGGATTACATTAGAATAAAACAAAAATGTTTACAAAAGACGTTAGTGTAGATTTATAATTTTATTCAATAGACAAATAGACGCTATGCTAGTGGGTAAGGATAGATGTCTATAAAACAAAGCTGCACAAGTCAGGCGAGTCAGCCTCTTTGAGGGTCAGCCTCTAACTGTTTAACTCTTTACTCCCGATTTGTAGAGGGTTTACAGCAATGCCTTGCGCTCGGCCTTCAGCTTCTGTTTCTCCTTGAGCAGGGCGTAGCACTCGGGCACCTTGTTGTAGAAGTCGCAGAGCTTCGACTGGGCATTGAAGGCCAGGTATTTGCCGCAGTTGTAGAGGCGCGGATGTCCGTTAACGCAGACGAAATACTTCTTGCACGTCTGCGGGTGGCGGTAGTAGCGCAGCTCGCCCTCGGGACTGACATCCACTTCGGGAGCAACACCATCGACCAGCTCAGACGCGGGGCAGGTGAAGCCGAGATAGGCCTCTGCGTTGCAGTTGGCCACCAGATCGGGCCAGTCGCACTGGTAGGTCTCCTCGTTGAAGGCCAAGCCCTCGGGGCACTTGGTCAGGCTGGCCACGCCATGGGCGCAGTTGCGATAGACACCGCACTTGGTCTCATCCCCATTCGGATAGAAGCCGAACTGGCGCGGGCACTCATCTGTGCCGTTCGCAGGCTGCAGGCGAGTGCGCTCCTTGCAGGTGGAGTAGGGCGCATAGGTGCATTCGCCCGTCGACTTGGTGCGCTGGTGGAAGAGCAGACCGTCCGGGCAGAGTTTCTCCACGGGCACGCCGTCCTGGCACTCCGTGTAGGCATCGCACTGGTCACCAGACGCGAAGCGTCCATTGGGCGAGGGACATTCGGGCGAGCCAAGGACTGTAAGTAGAAGAGAGTTGAAGAGTTGAGAGACCATCGAAAACTTCTGCGACTTCTGAGCTGGCGCAAAACGAAAGACTCGATTTACAAACTGATTACAAAAATTACAACTGTTTATTGTGAATGGCAAAAGGTATACAATAAATGGGCATGGGCCGCCCTTTAACTACAGACTAGAAAACTCGAGCAGCGCCTTGTGCATGCTTTGTCTATCCAGAATCTGATTGAACTTTTCACTCCTACACCAGTTTCTCCCGCCCGCTCGCTTAGTTCAGCTTGCGACGCCCGGCAGCCGCTGAGGCGCGCGCCGCCTTGATCTCAGCGCCCTTGGCGCGAATGTCGTTGCTGCAGTTGGGCACGTTGTCGATGTCGTCGCACTGGTTCAGCTCCTGGTTGAAGGCCTGGTCCTCGCCACAGCTGATGCGGCGTGGGCGACCCTCAATGCAGATGAAGTACACCTGGCAGTTCTCCTGCGACGGATGGAAGGTGTAGTCCTGCTCCTGCTCGCCCAGCAGCTCCGACTTGGGCGCCAGAGGTGGGCAACGGAAGCCGAGGAAGGCCTCGGCATCGCAGTCCTCCACCTGATCGGGCCAGTCGCACTTGTAGGTGGCCGGGTTCCAGGCCAAGCCCTCGGGGCAGTCAAAGACAAAGCCACGCCCCGCCGCACAGTTCATGAACTGGCCACAATGGCTCGCATCTCCCATGCGATAGTAGCCAAACTGATGGGGGCACTCGTCCGTGGGCTGGGCCGCCTGCAGACGAGCCTGGGGCTGAGTGCACTCCACGTCGATGGGATAGCTGCAGGGGTAGCCGGTGGACTTCTCGTTGTAGAGCAGGCCGTCGGGGCACAGCTTCTCCTCGGCCACGCCATTCTTGCACTCGATGTAGGCGTCGCAGGAGCCGGCGACAGGAGCAGTGCCGTTCGCCTCACGGCAAACGCCAGCTGCTGCTTGGGCTGCAAGAGAGGCGGATAGGTTGATTGGGTTAATAGGGTCGGGCTTGGGATAGGTGCGCGCTTACCTCTAATGATTTATGATGAAATCTGATGCTTGCACTATCTCTGCTTTTCAGCTCTAAGCGAATGAGCACTTCAAAACAAAATACAATTCAGGTCTAAGAATAGATTTGCCAACGGCATTTAATCACGTTTGGATCAGGCAAACAGTTCGTAAAACACTATGATTAGCTCGTATTGTTAGTTCAAAGTACCGTTATCTATACTAAACACTATCTATCTATTAAAATAATTCTTATTAAATATTTTGTTCATTATTTAAAATAGTTTAATTAATGCTAATGACATTCTCTCAAGTCCACCTTTAACGCGCTATTTATATATAACTGTAGCCAGACTATTTTTAATTATTATTATTTTTTACATTATTTAGTTAATTTAATCTTAATTTTTGATAATCTTAATTATTATTAGATAACAGAATTTTCGTGGCATATTATTTATTAGTATTCAATCATTCATGATAATCGTGAGCAATCATGAGCATACAGATATTCGAGTGCCTACACACTCGACGGCTGAGAGGTAGTGCGTTAGGAAAAGAGAAGGGCCAAATGTAGGGCTCCTATAAATAAGCAGATTATCGCTGGCTTTTGCAGCCCCAGCAACAAAATATGTGAGAGACGAGCGATAAGATAAGAATATGTAATAGACCAATGCTGAGCCTTAGCTCATGAGTCTGGGTATAAAAATCCGGTCTCCAGCAAGTAAAGATCAGTACGAAACTAAACGTCATCATATTCAAGTATTCTTTGTGAAAATACAAATTTCGGCTTTTATATAAAGTCACGCACGAATTAAATCATTTATATAAATACTAATTTATAGCTATCTTTATGAGCGAGATAATATTCCAATGGAACCGCGTGTTGTAAATGGAATTCGCATTCGCTCCATGACAGTGGACGACTACAAAGAGGTGAAAGAAGTTTTGGGTCGAACGTTCTATGTGGACGAGCCACTGTGCATGATCTCGGGTAAAAATATGCAAACACACTTTGAGCAGGAGCAGGATGCATACCACCTATCCCTGATCGAGCAGAATACCTCTGTTGTGGCTGTGGATGAGACCGAGAGCAATAAAATTGTCGGTGTGGTGCTGGCAGGCGCACAAGTGCCAAGCGAGCTGGAATATCATCGACTAATGGCAGACAAGTACGGAAAATTCTACAAGTTTTTGTCTGAGATCGAAACGGAAGTGAATATCTTCAAGAGCCATGGAGTCTCCAGGGTTCTCTACTCACACATAACCGCCGTGGAAAGATCAATGAGAGGCAAAGGACTGGGCACGCGACTCACGACAGCTGTGATGGAGGTGGGTCGCACGATGGGATTCCCCTTGTTTGTTGCCTGCTGCACGAGTTTCTACTCGGCACGCCAAAAGCAGGCCTTGGGCATGGAGTGCATCCATGCTGTGGCTTATGCGGACTATAAAAACGAACGTGGCGAAGTGGTGTTTGAGCCACCAGCACCACACACGCACGCTCGCTATATGGTGGGTATTCTATGAACCCAGAGAGACTAAAATGAGAGACTAAATGGACCTATCTTTATTTTTGTATAATAAAATTATTAAAAAAAAAAAATGCAATTATTAATTTGAAACATTTTTTAAAATCAGTAGTTTCATATTTTCTTTTGCAATAAAGTAATATAAAGTAATATTTATTTTAATGTGATATACTCGTAGTGTGTAATATATGGAATCTACATACTATCTTTTAATACCCATCAAATTTATTTCAGTGCCTGCATATTTGACCAATACACGTGCCAAAATATGATGTGAGATCCAAGCAGAAAAATATTAATAAATTGTCAACATACGTGAGTATATTTGGTTATCTCAGTCCGTCCAACTGTACGTCTGTCTGTCTTTCTGTCTTGTTCAATTATCTCTTGGCGGCACTTTTGAGACGCATGAAATTTTAATGAGCTCGCGGCTATTCAATGTAGATACACACCCCGTTTGTTGAACCCGTGTGTTGGAATTTCTATTTTGCTTTACATAGCGCACACCTCGAAAAGCTTTTTACGTTGCCTTTGGTACTCAACGCCAGTTGGGGAAGCCCCTCTTTTAGGCAGTCTACAAAGTCTAAACAATTGTTAGTGAATGTTGTTGGAAGCT